ATCAACATGTTTAAAATTTAAAATGCTTTCCATATTCTAAACTATACACAGCATAAGAATTTACAACTTTCACTTTTACAATTGTCAACTTTTTTTAATATTTAAGCAAGAACTAGTTAATAACTCAACAACACCCACATTTCATTGTTCATTTGATTTAAGAACTTTTCTAAAACTCCTTAACTAAACAGTTTAACCATTAAAAATGCTTATACAACCGTTATCAAAATGAATTCGAATTTTTTCAATCAAAGTGTTACAAAGAAACACACAGATAAACGTAAGCAATGGAAGTCACTATAAAATAACACTAATTGTAAAAACTAGATTTAAAAAGGACTAAAAAATTGGAATGGTTTTCTTCTCTGTAGGCAAATAACAGCCATTTTATGACTATTTTTTACCAAGGTAGGTTGCGAACCCTATTCTGATTCTTTAAAAAATATGTGCAGCAAGAATATGTTAACATAACTTTTTTTATCACAACCAATCAAATGTCCCGTTGACAATATGTCCTTTTTTGCATGTTATAGGAATAGGTAAAAATATTTGAATCAAATCACATTTTTCTGCTTTAGAACTAATCGTAAATAAGCTCTTTCGCTACTCAGCCTGTAGATAAGTCTCGTTGACGTTGATGGAACGAACCCACCAAGTACGTGACAATCAAAAGTATAGATAAGAGGTTAAGGAACTCGTGTTTACAAAAGAAATTGTAACATTTCTTTATAAAATTATTTCTTGTAACATTAACAGAAGAAATTGCTTTTGGAAGCAGGGCCTAATTCCAGGTAGCAATGGTGTTTAATAATCTTACTCACTTCCCACAATCATTGTCACAATCTGATCATAAATAGCATAAAACGTGTTTTTACAAAACAAAATTATTTTATGTGTCAAAATCGGTCATGTGGAATTGTGTAATAAACAGCATTCTCCAGTATGTGAACGCCAATGAAAACATTGTGGGTTTTCTCATGGCTGCAATACTCCGAAAACCCCATAAAAACCTCTTAAGTTTGGAAACTTGTGGGACAGATCCCTAGGTCAGTAACGAATCGGGTATAGTCATAGCTGTCATATGTCGTATAAAGTATTCTACCACTAAAATCTCAGTTGGGATAAACAGGAAGAAAAAGCTAAATATACAAAAGAACATTCTTTTCCATACATTATTATCAAATTAAGTGGTACTGTTGAACTGTGATTGAAAAACCATCGGTGTACGTGAAAATATATGATGGAACAGCTATATTTCAAACAAGTCCTCCTCCTTTGCGTCCTATTCCCGATGCAAAGCACAGCTGCTAGTAAATGTATACATTTACCTAAATCTTACGTAAACATTTCAAGACAACTTTACAGCATTAAATTTTGTTACAGCAAAAACATTTTATGTTTCATCACTGAATAGCATTTTTTAATATATAGTTCATGGAATTCAATAAATAATTCAAATGCTTTTATTTCGTTTCTACGAAATATTTACGTCCGTTACTTAGTGTTTTTTAAACTGTGCTCAATATTGATGTAAAACATGAAATTCATATATTTTGTAGACGAAATTCATATTCATCGTATACGATTTTCATTTTTACTCAACAAAAAAGGCCTTTTTAGGACGTGTAGCTGTGTAGGACGTGCATATTGAATAATAATGTCATAATTATTGTTTTTGCTTTTTATAGCTCATTTCCTCAGTAAAAACAATCGGTAAAATTATGTTGGTAAAAGTCAATGATGCAAACATTTCACCTATGACCACTTTTAATATTCAACAATTAACCTTTGGGTCGAAATGATCCAACTTAAGCTTATCTATATAAATAAAATTAGAGTTTTGTCTGTACATTGCTTAGAATAATGAACTTTTTGGTTATTTTTACATTTCATAGGTCAGAGAAACCGAATCAAACCTTATCTCAATTTCTGTCTGTCTGTCTGTCTGTCTGTCTGTCTGTCTATCTGTCATTCTCTTGGTAACGCTAAAATACGCACTTTATTACAACTACTCCTCAATAACTATAGCACTGTCCCGCCTGAAACTTATTTTCCAAATACTATACATATATGAGATGGTTTTAGACGTATTTCATCGAATATGAGACAGTTAGATATTTAACAGTAAACCCTTGAAAATCAAGTTTTTGTCGATTTTTGACGTGGAATTTCTGGAAGAATGTTGCTTTGTTTACAACTAATCATATGCACATGGTTTTAATTGAAATACAATCTTAATTTTGACATTGGCATACAGCTGTGATTAGAAAACGTTAGCCTATTTGAACTCAAGGTTAACCATAGCCTTATCGATTCACACAACTTAAAAACCATACGAAATGTATACTATATTATATAACTGAACACCAGTTCTGCTAATTATAACAATGGGTTTTGTACATTTCATCCATTACCGTACAAATAATTAAAATAATAATACATTAATTGGTTAGAAGTAAATTTAATTCAAATTACAGATTCAATACAAAGTATTCAATATAAAAGTTAAACATTTTAGATAACAAAATTACGATCAGCTGATTGTTATTCTTTAATATCTGTGCGCTACTAACCAGCAAACAAACTTGACCAGTTTATTATTGTTCATTACTCTTTACACCAAAATAAAAGTTATAATAGTTAATAATGTCCTAAATTATTTCACGTTTATAAATAAAAGAAAATCTACTCTTCTTTTAATTTATTTTTTTTTGAGGTAATGTTTTTAAAAAAGTTCATATTCCCATATGAATTTGCATCAATCAGATGTTTCATACTGTACAGTAGAGATATTCGTTGACATAGTGTCAAACACAAATTAAATTTGTTTACAACTAAACATATGGACATATTTTTGTTGCTTTAGTTGAGAGGTTACAAGTTAATCTTTAATACATTATTTGTTGAAATATTTTCTATTGTTTCTAAATAAATATGTCCTGAAGAGTATGCCTCGCAAGAGAAAAAGCAATTTGGGTAGAAAAACAAATAATGCCAAGAGACAAAAATTGTGTGTATCCACGGAATCAGTTGATTATGATGATTCGGACTCTGATGATGGTGTACATAGCAATAATGAGTCGACAATTTTAAGTTCCGTTGTGGTTGAAGATTATGCACGACCTTCAACCAGTCGAGAGCGTGTCGCCCTATTTAGGTCTCAGCAGAATGAAAAAGAACGTGAAAGCAGGCGAGACACTGAACGTTTAAGATTTAGCCAAAGAATACAAAATGAGACGGAAGAGGAGCGAGAAGCTCGACGGAACAGGGACCGAATACGGCACGTCCAGAGAAAAGAAAATGAGACAGAAGAGGAGCGAGATGCACGTCGGTGCAGCAACCGAATACAGCAAGTTCAGAAGAGGGGAAACGAGACAGAGGTTGAGCGAGAAGCACGTCGGAACAGTGACCGAATACTACACGTTCGGGGGAGGGAAAACGAAACAGAGGAGGAGCAAGAAGCACGTCGGGAGAGTGACCGAATACTACATGTTCAGAGGAGGGAAAACGAGACAGATGAGGAGCGAGAAGCACGTCGGAACAGTGACCGAATACGACACGTACGGAAGAGGGAAAACGAAACAGAGGAGGAGCAAGAAGCACGTCGGAACAATGACCGAATATTACACGTCCAGAGAAGGGAAAACGAAACAGAGGAGGAGCAAGAAGCACGTCGGGAGAGTGACCGAATACTACATGTTCAAAGGAGGGAAAACGAGACAGTGGAGGAGGGAGGAGCACGTCGAAACAGTGACCGAATCCTACACGTTCGCAGGAGGGAAAATGAAACAAGAGAAGAGAGAGAAAGTAGGCAAGAACGAGATAGAGTTCGGCAAAACCAACGTAGGAATAATGAAACTCCTGAAGAGCGGGAAGCTAGACATATAATCGACAATGATAGGTACCGTCGCACTGTTGAAGAGCAAACTCTACTTTTGCATGACGAGGCGACCCGAGTGGAGGAACTTCGAGCAAGCCAGGACATTGCTGACAGAAATGCCCGTGTTGCCGCTGATTCTGAAAGACATAGGGTGAACAGAGTCGTTGAGAGCGACGCAGAAAGACAAACTAGGATCGCGCGGGAAAGAACTCGGCATGTCGAAAGAAATTTAACAGAATGGCGAGACACACACAACAGTGGATTCCAATATGATCCTTTTACACGTTACAGTGAAGCTGCCAATATTGGAGATTTTGATAAAGTTTGTAGGTTTTGTCACGCTTTGAGTTGGTCAAAGGAACCACGTGGAATATGTTGTGCTTCTGGTAAAGTGTCCATACCGTCTATTTTGGAAGCACCTGAGCCGCTACGTACATGGATATCGGACGAATCACCTCAATCGCGAAATTTTCTTAGACATATCAGGGCCTACAATAGTGCGTTCCAAATGACTTCTTTTGGAGGTAATGAAATCCGTGAAGGACCATATATGCCTACATTTAAGGTCCAAGGACAAGTGTACCATTTGATCGGCTCTCTTTTGCCACCCCCTGGACTTCCGCCGTCTTACCTTCAGATTTACTTTGTTGGGGATGACCAAGTCCAGCTTCAAAGAAGGCAAAGTTTATTTCAAGACCTTGATCATGACATGTTGGCCGCTTTGCAAAACATGCTTCAGAATAATAACGCCTACTTGCTCAGCTTCAAAACTACTTTAGAAACATTTCCTGTAGATTCACCTGATTTCAAAATTGTTATTAGAGCCGACAGACGCCCTGCAGGGGACCACCCAGGTAGATACAATGAACCAACAGTCAATGAGGTTGCTATTTTGATGATTGGGGATCCAAGTGACCATCGAGACATCATTTTAAATTCAAGAGAACAGGGTTTGAAACGAATATATGAAACCCACCGATCTTATGATGCCCTACAATATCCCCTTATGTTTTGTAGAGGCGAAGATGGATATAGTTTCAATTTATATCATGTAAACCCGGTTACTAAACAACCAACCACAAAGAAAACTAGCTCACGAGAGTTTTACGCCTATCGCATTATGGTTAGAGAAGGTGAAGCAAATCACATTCATAAATTCAAACAGCTTTTGAACCAGTACTTGGTGGACATGTACGCTAAAGTTGAGAGTGAAAGGCTGCTGTATCTTCGTACGCACCAAAAGGAACTGAGAGCAGAGAATTACATACACCTTCAAGACGCTTTAAGACGAGACGACAACGTAGAAGAAATGGGGCAAAAGATAATTTTACCTGCCACCTTTACTGGAGGTCCTAGATATATGCATTCTCGCACACAGGACGCCTTTTGCTATGTTCGGAAGTTTGGTCGTTCAGAACTTTTCATAACAATGACAACAAATCCAAAATGGATAGAAATCACGAGTGTAATTGGAGAAAGGCAGTCTGCTCACGACCGGTATGATGTGGTATCACGAGTTTTTCATTTGAAGCTTAACTGTATGATTGCTGTTCTTATGAAAGGCCAGATTTATGGCTCAGTTCGCTGCTACATGTACTCTGTTGAATGGCAGAAACGTGGTCTTCCACACGCTCATATCCTGATTTGGCTTGAAGAATCCATTCCTCCAAATAGAATAGATCAAGTCATTTCTGCAGAGCTTCCAAATCCTGAAACTGATCCTGAACTTGCAGATATAGTCAAGACTCACATGCTGCACGGACCATGCGGAGCTTTTAATGTGCGACAGCGCAAGCTTCCCTGTATGAAGGATGGTCACTGTAGCAAAAGATACCCTAGACCATTTGTCAATGAAACGGCAACAGGAGACAATGGATACCCAACATACAGAAGGCGCTCCCCAGATGATGGAGGCCATCATGTCCTAATCAGAGTAGGTAACGATGAAATCCCTATGGACAACCGATGGGTAGTACCTTACTCGCCTGTATTGTCCCGAACATTTCTAACACATGTTAACGTTGAGTACTGTAGCAGTGTAAAATCTATAAAGTACATCTGCAAGTACATAAACAAGGGCAGTGACCAGGCCACATTTGCAGTAAGTAATGACACAGACGAAATTAAAATGTACCAAAGTGGTCGGTATATATGCACATCTGAGGCGGTATGGAGAATTTTATCATTTCCTATACATGAGAGGTTTCCCGCTGTGTTGCATTTAGAGGTCCACCTTCCAAATGAGCAAAGAGTATATTTCCAGCCAGGCAATGTTCGGGAAATAATGGACCAAAGTACAACTCTTTTGGCCTTCTTCAATCTCTGCCAGACGGACGCCTTTTCAAGAACCCTCCTCTACAACGAGTTGCCCTATTATTACACATACTCTAAACAAAGAGGTTGGTCCAGGAGGCGGAGAGGACAACCAGTACCAGGACATCCTGACGTGAGACAAGATCCGTGCATCGGTAGGGTGTACACTGTCCATCCAAGCTGCAGTGAGCGTTACCATCTCCGACTCCTCCTACACACTGTTCGAGGTCCAACATCTTTTGAGGATCTCAAGACTGTTGATGGTGTGCTCCATCCAAATTTCCAATCCGCATGCCGTGCCCTTGGTTTACTAGAGGATGATGCGTGCTGGGAGGGCACTCTTGCAGAAGCTGCTGTTTCTGACAGTCCCACCAAGTTGAGGGATCTCTTCAGTGTCTTATTAGTATTTTGCAATGTGAGCAACCCTCTTGAGCTCTGGATCAGATTCAGAGATTCCCTCTCAGAGGACTTTTTGAGATCTGCACATCAAGTCGACATTAACACCACCTTTGAAAACAATCCTATCATATATGACCAGTGCCTAGCAAGCATTCAAGAGACAATCACTCGCATGGGAGGACTTGGGCTCGAAAGCTACAACTTACCAGTACCAGCCATAGATGTCAATCAGTTAAACCATGATTATATCAGAGAGACAAGTTACGACCATCCCGAACTCATTAGGTTTATTGAACAGTGTACGCCAACTCTCAACGAGGAGCAGCGCCAAGTGTATGAGCAAGTTTTGACGAGCATAAATGGACAAAGAAACAAGATGTTTTTTCTTGATGCTCCTGGAGGTACTGGAAAGACCTACCTCATAAAGCTGATTCTCGCAAAGGTTAGATCAAACAGTAAGATTGCTCTTGCTGTGGCCTCTTCTGGCATTGCAGCAACCCTTCTGCCAGGTGGAAGAACTGCCCATTCCATGTTCAAAATCCCAATAAATGTAGAGCATATGGACATCCCGATTTGTTCTATATCGAAGAGCGCTCCCATGGCACGAGTTCTACAAGCAGCCTCCTTAATAGTCTGGGACGAGTGTACGATGTCCAATAAACTGACAATCGAGGCCCTCGACAGAACACTCAAAGATATGAGGAACAGTAATAAGATCATGGGTGGAGTGACGGTATTGTTCTCTGGTGACTTCCGCCAAACTCTGCCAGTTGTAGTGAGAGGCACAAGGGCGGATGAAATTAACGCCTCTATGAAAAGATCTACCCTATGGCCAATAATGAACAAACTGGCGTTAACAAAGAACATGCGGGCCAATATTGGAAATGAGGTGGAAGAATTCTCCAATGTTCTGTTAAAGTTGGGAGATGGAAAGCTGGGTAACGTTGATGGAACTATCGATATACCACCTTCTCTTGGTGTTATTGTTCAAACCCAAGATGAACTCATCGAGAAAGTCTATCCAGGAATTGAAGACCTCCCAAACAAGAGCAGTGCCTGGTTATGCAATAGGGCTATTCTCACTCCAAAAAATGAAGTTTCAACAAAGATAAATAAGAAAGTGATGTCCCTATTCCTAAGCGAGGACAAGACATATTTGTCGGTGAACACAGTTCTAAGAAATGATGACGCAGTGCACTACCCGGCAGAGTTTCTTGACTCGGTGACAGCACCTGGACTACCCGCCCACGAACTTAATCTTAAAATTGGTATTCCCGTTATGCTTCTAAGAAATTTAAACCCTCCTAAATTATGCAATGGGACTCGGCTTCGAATTCGAAGTCTCCAGCGAAATGTCATAGAAGCCGAAATTCTAACAGGCTGTGGTGCGGGAGAAGTGGTGTTTGTCCCCCGGATCCCACTCATCCCAAGCAACTATCCCTTTGAGTTTAAGCGCCTGCAATTTCCCTTAAATCCATGTTTTTCCATGACGATCAACAAATCGCAAGGTCAGACACTGTCAACAGCAGGGATTGAACTAGGTGACGCGCAATGTTTTTCACACGGACAGCTGTACGTGGCGTGCAGCCGAGTGCGATCGCCAACCAACCTTTACATACATGCCCCAGGCGGTCGAACCACTAATATAGTATATGAAGAGGCATTAAGTTAGGCAACCTTTTAATTTTTTGTGTTTTTTGTTTTTCTTCACTATTTAATATTTATTTTCAATGTATGTCATTTGTTGTTTTTGAAATTTTGATATTGTAATTTCGCTGTGACAAATGTTAAGCGCTTCAACTCTGCTATCTTTGCCAACTTTGTTATTTAAAACTTTCGAATATTTTTCAAGATTTAAGTTTTTTAATGTATTTTTATGTACTAAATTATGTTAAAATAAATTAATCATTGTTATTACAAAAAGTTTGTAACCTTATTCTTGAATAAACCCGTTCTTCGTACGGGTTTATTCAAGAATAAGGTTACAAACTTTTTGTAATAACAATGATTAATTTATTTTAACATAATTTAGTACATAAAAATACATTAAAAAACTTAAATCTTGAAAAATATTCGAAAGTTTTAAATAACAAAGTTGGCAAAGATAGCAGAGTTGAAGCGCTTAACATTTGTCACAGCGAAATTACAATATCAAAATTTCAAAAACAACAAATGACATACATTGAAAATAAATATTAAATAGTGAAGAAAAACAAAAAACACAAAAAATTAAAAGGTTGCCTAACTTAATGCCTCTTCATATACTATATTAGTGGTTCGACCGCCTGGGGCATGTATGTAAAGGTTGGTTGGCGATCGCACTCGGCTGCACGCCACGTACAGCTGTCCGTGTGAAAAACATTGCGCGTCACCTAGTTCAATCCCTGCTGTTGACAGTGTCTGACCTTGCGATTTGTTGATCGTCATGGAAAAACATGGATTTAAGGGAAATTGCAGGCGCTTAAACTCAAAGGGATAGTTGCTTGGGATGAGTGGGATCCGGGGGACAAACACCACTTCTCCCGCACCACAGCCTGTTAGAATTTCGGCTTCTATGACATTTCGCTGGAGACTTCGAATTCGAAGCCGAGTCCCATTGCATAATTTAGGAGGGTTTAAATTTCTTAGAAGCATAACGGGAATACCAATTTTAAGATTAAGTTCGTGGGCGGGTAGTCCAGGTGCTGTCACCGAGTCAAGAAACTCTGCCGGGTAGTGCACTGCGTCATCATTTCTTAGAACTGTGTTCACCGACAAATATGTCTTGTCCTCGCTTAGGAATAGGGACATCACTTTCTTATTTATCTTTGTTGAAACTTCATTTTTTGGAGTGAGAATAGCCCTATTGCATAACCAGGCACTGCTCTTGTTTGGGAGGTCTTCAATTCCTGGATAGACTTTCTCGATGAGTTCATCTTGGGTTTGAACAATAACACCAAGAGAAGGTGGTATATCGATAGTTCCATCAACGTTACCCAGCTTTCCATCTCCCAACTTTAACAGAACATTGGAGAATTCTTCCACCTCATTTCCAATATTGGCCCGCATGTTCTTTGTTAACGCCAGTTTGTTCATTATTGGCCATAGGGTAGATCTTTTCATAGAGGCGTTAATTTCATCCGCCCTTGTGCCTCTCACTACAACTGGCAGAGTTTGGCGGAAGTCACCAGAGAACAATACCGTCACTCCACCCATGATCTTATTACTGTTCCTCATATCTTTGAGTGTTCTGTCGAGGGCCTCGATTGTCAGTTTATTGGACATCGTACACTCGTCCCAGACTATTAAGGAGGCTGCTTGTAGAACTCGTGCCATGGGAGCGCTCTTCGATATAGAACAAATCGGGATGTCCATATGCTCTACATTTATTGGGATTTTGAACATGGAATGGGCAGTTCTTCCACCTGGCAGAAGGGTTGCTGCAATGCCAGAAGAGGCCACAGCAAGAGCAATCTTACTGTTTGATCTAACCTTTGCGAGAATCAGCTTTATGAGGTAGGTCTTTCCAGTACCTCCAGGAGCATCAAGAAAAAACATCTTGTTTCTTTGTCCATTTATGCTCGTCAAAACTTGCTCATACACTTGGCGCTGCTCCTCGTTGAGAGTTGGCGTACACTGTTCAATAAACCTAATGAGTTCGGGATGGTCGTAACTTGTCTCTCTGATATAATCATGGTTTAACTGATTGACATCTATGGCTGGTACTGGTAAGTTGTAGCTTTCGAGCCCAAGTCCTCCCATGCGAGTGATTGTCTCTTGAATGCTTGCTAGGCACTGGTCATATATGATAGGATTGTTTTCAAAGGTGGTGTTAATGTCGACTTGATGTGCAGATCTCAAAAAGTCCTCTGAGAGGGAATCTCTGAATCTGATCCAGAGCTCAAGAGGGTTGCTCACATTGCAAAATACTAATAAGACACTGAAGAGATCCCTCAACTTGGTGGGACTGTCAGAAACAGCAGCTTCTGCAAGAGTGCCCTCCCAGCACGCATCATCCTCTAGTAAACCAAGGGCACGGCATGCGGATTGGAAATTTGGATGGAGCACACCATCAACAGTCTTGAGATCCTCAAAAGATGTTGGACCTCGAACAGTGTGTAGGAGGAGTCGGAGATGGTAACGCTCACTGCAGCTTGGATGGACAGTGTACACCCTACCGATGCACGGATCTTGTCTCACGTCAGGATGTCCTGGTACTGGTTGTCCTCTCCGCCTCCTGGACCAACCTCTTTGTTTAGAGTATGTGTAATAATAGGGCAACTCGTTGTAGAGGAGGGTTCTTGAAAAGGCGTCCGTCTGGCAGAGATTGAAGAAGGCCAAAAGAGTTGTACTTTGGTCCATTATTTCCCGAACATTGCCTGGCTGGAAATATACTCTTTGCTCATTTGGAAGGTGGACCTCTAAATGCAACACAGCGGGAAACCTCTCATGTATAGGAAATGATAAAATTCTCCATACCGCCTCAGATGTGCATATATACCGACCACTTTGGTACATTTTAATTTCGTCTGTGTCATTACTTACTGCAAATGTGACCTGGTCACTGCCCTTGTTTATGTACTTGCAGATGTACTTTATAGATTTTACACTGCTACAGTACTCAACGTTAACATGTGTTAGAAATGTTCGGGACAATACAGGCGAGTAAGGTACTACCCATCGGTTGTCCATAGGGATTTCATCGTTACCTACTCTGATTAGGACATGATGGCCTCCATCATCTGGGGAGCGCCTTCTGTATGTTGGGTATCCATTGTCTCCTGTTGCCGTTTCATTGACAAATGGTCTAGGGTATCTTTTGCTACAGTGACCATCCTTCATACAGGGAAGCTTGCGCTGTCGCACATTAAAAGCTCCGCATGGTCCGTGCAGCATGTGAGTCTTGACTATATCTGCAAGTTCAGGATCAGTTTCAGGATTTGGGAGCTCTGCAGAAATGACTTGATCTATTCTATTTGGAGGAATGGATTCTTCAAGCCAAATCAGGATATGAGCGTGTGGAAGACCACGTTTCTGCCATTCAACAGAGTACATGTAGCAGCGAACTGAGCCATAAATCTGGCCTTTCATAAGAACAGCAATCATACAGTTAAGCTTCAAATGAAAAACTCGTGATACCACATCATACCGGTCGTGAGCAGACTGCCTTTCTCCAATTACACTCGTGATTTCTATCCATTTTGGATTTGTTGTCATTGTTATGAAAAGTTCTGGACGACCAAACTTCCGAACATAGCAAAAGGCGTCCTGTGTGCGAGAATGCATATATCTAGGACCTCCAGTGAAGGTGGCAGGTAAAATTATCTTTTGCCCCATTTCTTCTACGTTGTCGTCTCGTCTTAAAGCGTCTTGAAGGTGTATGTAATTCTCTGCTCTCAGTTCCTTTTGGTGCGTACGAAGATACAGCAGCCTTTCACTCTCAACTTTAGCGTACATGTCCACCAAGTACTGGTTCAAAAGCTGTTTGAATTTATGAATGTGATTTGCTTCACCTTCTCTAACCATAATGCGATAGGCGTAAAACTCTCGTGAGCTAGTTTTCTTTGTGGTTGGTTGTTTAGTAACCGGGTTTACATGATATAAATTGAAACTATATCCATCTTCGCCTCTACAAAACATAAGGGGATATTGTAGGGCATCATAAGATCGGTGGGTTTCATATATTCGTTTCAAACCCTGTTCTCTTGAATTTAAAATGATGTCTCGATGGTCACTTGGATCCCCAATCATCAAAATAGCAACCTCATTGACTGTTGGTTCATTGTATCTACCTGGGTGGTCCCCTGCAGGGCGTCTGTCGGCTCTAATAACAATTTTGAAATCAGGTGAATCTACAGGAAATGTTTCTAAAGTAGTTTTGAAGCTGAGCAAGTAGGCGTTATTATTCTGAAGCATGTTTTGCAAAGCGGCCAACATGTCATGATCAAGGTCTTGAAATAAACTTTGCCTTCTTTGAAGCTGGACTTGGTCATCCCCAACAAAGTAAATCTGAAGGTAAGACGGCGGAAGTCCAGGGGGTGGCAAAAGAGAGCCGATCAAATGGTACACTTGTCCTTGAACCTTAAATGTAGGCATATATGGTCCTTCACGGATTTCATTACCTCCAAAAGAAGTCATTTGGAACGCACTATTGTAGGCCCTGATATGTCTAAGAAAATTTCGCGATTGAGGTGATTCGTCCGATATCCATGTACGTAGCGGCTCAGGTGCTTCCAAAATAGACGGTATGGACACTTTACCAGAAGCACAACATATTCCACGTGGTTCCTTTGACCAACTCAAAGCGTGACAAAACCTACAAACTTTATCAAAATCTCCAATATTGGCAGCTTCACTGTAACGTGTAAAAGGATCATATTGGAATCCACTGTTGTGTGTGTCTCGCCATTCTGTTAAATTTCTTTCGACATGCCGAGTTCTTTCCCGCGCGATCCTAGTTTGTCTTTCTGCGTCGCTCTCAACGACTCTGTTCACCCTATGTCTTTCAGAATCAGCGGCAACACGGGCATTTCTGTCAGCAATGTCCTGGCTTGCTCGAAGTTCCTCCACTCGGGTCGCCTCGTCATGCAAAAGTAGAGTTTGCTCTTCAACAGTGCGACGGTACCTATCATTGTCGATTATATGTCTAGCTTCCCGCTCTTCAGGAGTTTCATTATTCCTACGTTGGTTTTG